AAGAAAGTGTCAATGACGTAAATTTGTTTAAGATGGACCTCAACTTGCCAGGAAGTGACCCACACGCTTGATTTCATGACCTTCCTCTGTGGTACGTATGGAATGAGACTTGCAGAATCCAGTTATAAAACTGCAATGGGCTGCAGCTGACTCTGTTATAATTTTGAATGGTGCCTTCTGTATTATGTCTATCATCCATAGCCCTCTTCATCTGCTGGCTCAACTGTTGAGATCTCTAGTAATCATCATCTGCTTATTCCACCATTGGGGTCATAGAGATGGTCCTCATCTTTGACCTTGCCACCAAGGGTGGCCCTACCAAGAGTTTAGAACTACTGATGGCATTGCTCTCAGAGTCATTGGACCACGCAAGCCCATCCACCATAACAGGGAGTGACCACACAGAAAAAAACTCACATAAACACATATATATATTTCACAGTGGATGTCGGAGTAAACAGTAACATATTATTACTTTAGAAACCAAACAATAAATAAGAAAGTAATCAAAGTTTAAAATTATCATCAAATATATGAGAACATTTCTTTTATTATTATTGTTGTTGTTGAAAATATTTGAAAGATAAATAATAGTGGAAGAAATTGACTATTCAGATCTGAAACAATAAATAATAAAAATAAAACGTAAACAAAATAATGTTACAACTCAAAACACTTTTCTTACAAATTTGAAAATACCTACTCATCCATAAAAAATATTATGTTTACCTACAATCAATAAATAAGAAAAGATAAAAGAATAAATGTTGTTAAAAAGATTTGAATAATAAATGATAGGGAAAGAAATCTATGATACTGAACCAATAGTCAAAGATAAATAAAACAAACATTACAACTTGAAATGCTTTTTGCAGCAATTTCCAAAATTATGTTCTCTAAAAGTAAAAGGGAAATGTTATGCCTCAATATTATAAATAATGTAGAATTATTCATGCCACTGTATAAGTCATTTAACAAATACAATATATTAAATGTTCTTAATATAATAATTCTTAATAATAGATGTTCTTAATAAAGTAAACTTTTTATAACATTTAAAAAATAAAACAATTGATGTATATTTTGACTTAACTTAAAAAAATAAACAAATATGTATTTTAATAAATAAAGATTATAAATGCATAATATCTGTCTATATTTCTGAGATGAAGTATTATGTACATTATTTGGACTATTGTCCTCATCTTTGTCACCATATTTATTACAAAGTTTCGGCCATTGTATGCTCCAGCCTTCTTCAGGTGGTTGGAATGTTGAACCCTTTATTTTGCTCACTGTTTAATGAATGTCAGTTATCAGTTATCTCCTGTTTTCCCTCTGAAAGTTCTCCACTGCTGTATTGAACTCACACTCTTTGGGTTCTGTCACTGGATCTAACCAACGCCTTTATCCACTGTGCCATGTGTCCTTGTGTATGAATTTCTGGGTATTATAAACCTAAACTTCAGCAACCATTTTACCAGTGCTCATATTGCAATTTTTGCTGTTATCATGCATGTTTTTACCAGAGCTCATATTGCAACTTTGTTGTTATTATCGCTTTTCTCTGGCACTCCTTATTACTGGTGACAGAACCCAAAGAGTGTGAGTTCAATACCTGGTTACAGCAGTGGAGAACTTTCAGAGGGAAAATTAACAGGAGATAACTGATAACTGACATCCATTAAACATGGCACGTGGAACTAGAACAGTCTACCCCAAGCAAGTGAAATGAAGGGTTCAGTTTGACATTCCAACCATCTGAAGATGGCCGGAGCGTACAACTGCTGAAACATTGTGATAAATATGGTAACAAAAATGAGGACAGTAGTCTGAATAATGTAAACAGTGTACATAATACCTCATCTCAGAAATATAGACAGATACTGAAAGGCCGAAATGTTGTAATAAATATGGCGACAAAGATGAGGACAATAGTCCGAATAATGTAAACAGTGTACATAATACCTCATCTCAGAAATATAGACAGATACTGAAAGGCCGAAATGTTGTAATAAATATGACGACAAAGATGAGGACAATAGTCTGAATAATGTAAACAGTGTACATAATACCTCATCTCAGAAATATAGACAGATACTGAAAGGCCGAAACGTTGTAATAAATATGGCGACAAAGATGAAGACAATAGTCCGAATAATGTAAATAGTGTACATAATACCTCATCTCAAAATATAGACAGATACTGAAAGGCGAAACGTTGTAATAAATATGATGACAAAGATGAGGACAATAGTCCGAATAATGTAAACAGTGTAATAATAATCATCTCAAATATAGACGAAAGAATATAGACAATAGTCCGAATAATGTAAACAGTGTACATAATACCTCATCTCAGAAATATAGACAGATACTGAAAGGCGAAACGTTGTGATAAAACGATAGGCAGTACAAAGATGAAGATGCTGAAAGGCCAGAAACGTTGTGATAAAGATGGCGACAAAGATGAAGACAATAGTCCGAATAATGTAAATAGTGTACATAATACCTCATCTCAGAAATATAGACAGATACTGAAAGGCCGAAATGTTGTAATAAATATGGCGACAAAGATAAGGACAATAGTTTGAATAATGTAAATAGTGTACATAATACCTCATCTCAGAAATATAGACAGATACTGAAGGGCCGAAGCGTTGTAATAAATATGGCGACAAAGATGAAGACAATAGTCCGAATAATGTAAATAGTGTACATAATACCTCATTTCAGAAATATAGACAGATACTGAAAGGCCGAAACGTTTGAATAATAAATATGGACAGATACTGAAGGGGTCAAGCGTTGTAAAGATGAAGACAATAGTCCGAATAATGTAAATAAAATGCATAATAATATAATAAAAACTGTAATATAATAAAGAAAGAAAAACATAAGAAAAACATAAGAATAAAATAAGAATAAAATAAATGGATAATTAAAATAATCAAGATTTCCCTTTTAAAATACAACATTGTTTTCTTTGAGCAATTAAAAACACATCCATTCACTTTGATATCAGCGTTTCCTATTTGGCATTAACTAACCTAAAAAAAAGTATTAATCAATCTACTCTAACACGACACTGCCATATTTACTTGCTTATATATTTGAGGATGGGCTGAAAATTTCATAGGCTGACTATGAAGGAATGATGCTCTGGAATCTTGCATGTATTAATTTCAACTTTTATTAATAACTGCATTGTTTCTTTCCAGGTAAACTGACATCTGACAATGTTTTTTCATGTTGGGGAACAGATGATAGTCAAATCAAGAGAATAGGAAAGGTGATCAACCACTTCAAAGCTACAGTCATGCACATCAGACATTGAAAGCAGGGACTTGTGTGCTGGAGCATTGTCCTGATGAAACAAGATGCCTTTTGTCAGTTTTCTTGACATTGATAACCTTTAATAATTGACTCACCAAGTAGCATAGTACTCTCTATTGATGGTGTGGCTCTTTTGAAGATAGTCAATAAACATAATTCCTTTTGTGTCCCCAAAAAACTGTCACCTTTCCTGCAGATAAAACAACTTTGGCCTTCTTTGGAGCAGGTGAGGAGGAACGTTTCCCCTGCATGGTTTGTCTCTGTTTTTTGCTCAAGGGGATGAACTAAACACTTATCCTAGGTTAGGAAACATCCAAGGAAACCAGCAAAGATCTGCCTAAAACAATGTCAGATTTTCCCATGATTTGAGCTGTCTGGTGCACTTTTGATTAGGTGTCATAAGACATGGCACCCACCAAGCAAAAACCTTCATCTTGCCAGGTTCATTGTGCAAAATATTCTCAATTCTCTCATGGGACATGCTAATAGCATTTGCTATTTGATTTATAGCTAATCACCTGTCATCTATCATCATGTGATGAACACAATGTTTTCCTCAGTAGTGGAAGTTGCAAGGTGTTCAAACCTTAGCTCATCCACAAGACTCTCCCTTCACCTCCTAAATTCTACCATCCACTTTTGCACTGTTGATAAAGCTGAAGCATCATCCCATATTTAGCAGCCATGCCAGCATAAATGAACCTGGGGGTTAAACCTTTTTTTTTTTTGCTGGTACTTGATGATACAACTATGTCAAATTTTGTCCATTTTTAAGAAAAGTTGCTACTAGTTAGTTTGAAGTTTTTTTTTTTTTGTTGTTTGAACAGTCAGATTTCAGTTTGTCTGGAAATAATGCAGTTATTAAAAAGAAGAGTTGAAATTAAGTCATGCAAGGTTTCACAACTTTAGCATCACTTCAGCCATGGATATAAATATTTGTAAATATCTGCAAATTGAAAGAGACTTAGAACAGTATTTATTCTTCAAGAACAGTTAAGATTTTACATGCACTCTTCACTTTTTAAAATTTTTTTTTATAATTTTAATTAAAAACTCTCAAGCCAGTAGAGTAAGGCAGGCTGCATTGATGCACTAGGTAGGTTGATGCACAATGCATATTTCAGAAACAGAAGTATCTATTCATTTGCAAGTGGCACCAGCACATGCGTATTTAAGCTTTACTGCTTCATTCCTGTTTACGAGTCAAAGCTCTGTGAATTGAGGAAGGTTGAATTAAATTTGTGAAAAATCACTGATTTTAACGTGGTAAGTAAAAGAATATTTTTTGGTCTAATTTTTTCTAAGTCAAATTCATTTGCAAATATCTTTATGCACTTGTAATATGATGAACTACTAACATTTTCCTTCAACCAAGTCCACTGCAAACTTTGGCAATATGGGTCTAGCATGAAGCCTTTAAAAATTTACTTAGGTGGTGAGTTAGGTAGATGCAAGAAAAAGAGGATAAAACAAAATTCTCACTGACACACCAATGAAAAATCTTCAGTCAACCAACAAAATAGGTATTGACAAGAAAATCTCATATGGTGGGGGAGGGACAAAGAATGGAAAAAGGAAAATTGTTGTTTAGTGTCAATTAGGAAAAAAAATGCAACAACGTGGCCCGCCTTATCCTAGTCAAAAAAAGAAAAGTTCAAGCTTACCTGTCATGGTAAATATCCCTACCAACATTCCTAAATTTCGTCCAGCTAACATTACATCGTCACTGTCCGCATTGGCACCAGTCTGTTTTGATTTTCGACCAGCCCATATTCCGACGAATAAAATGCCAAGGTAAAATACAACAATGGCTAAAACTCCTGCTATGTGGACTGCCATGGTCCTAACTCTGTCTCAGCAACAATCAGGCACAAGCAAATGACAGATCTGGAAAATGAATATTTATTTAAGGAAAATTAGTAAATATCAAAGTAGAAATAGGTTTTGTTGAAACAAGACAAAAAATTAGAAATAGGTTTTGTTGAAACAAGACAAAAAATTAGAAATAGGTTTTGTTGAAACAAGACAAAAAATTAGAAATAGGTTTTGTTGAAACAAGACAAAAAGAAATTTTTGTTGAAACAAGAAATAGGTTTTGTTGAAACAAGACAAAAAATTAGAAATAGGTTTTGTTGAAACAAGACAAAAAATTAGAAATAGGTTTTGTTGAAACAAGACAAAAAATTAGAAATAGGTTTTGTTGAAACAAGACAAAAAATTAGAAATAGGTTTTGTTGAAACAAGACAAAAAAGAAATTTTTGTTGAAACAAGACAAAAAAAGGTTTTTTGTTGAAACAAGACAAAAAATTAGAAATAGGTTTTGTTGAAACAAGACAAAAAATTAGAAATAGGTTTTGTTGAAACAAGACAAAAAATTAGAAATAGGTTTTGTTGAAACAACACAGAAAAGTGCTGACATACAGTTTCTATTTTTTCCTCTAGTTTTATATTTGATGCGAAAAGGGTTGAATAAAAATAAAATGAACAAAATTGGAAATAATGCAAAAATGAATTTGCCATATTTGTTCTATCAATCATCTGAGAGATCAACTTCTGCCTTCCATCAGCATGGCCGGTGCTAATGTCCAGGAAAGTGATTGTTGCACCTACTCAGGTTAAGATTCTCTTCTGATGTAGTGGAAACAAAATGCAGATGGAGTAGTCAATTGTTACTGATAACAGTACCTGTCTCCATCGGTCAAAGAGATGACAGTGTGCTCTCTCTACAGAAGGACAGTTCTTTGCTAGTGTATTTGGGAACAGAAGTGGTCAAAAGAGTGGACCCAATCACTTTGTTATAGCTCTACCAATTTCAAACAGTATCAGAACAATAAGCTTAATCAGCCACCCCAGCAAGGTCATTCTCCGTATTATCTGCAACCGATGATCATGTGCAGTTCTCTTGAGTAACCAAGTGGGAGATTTTTTCCAGATGTCTCTTGGTGTTAGACAGGGATGCCTACTCTTTCTAATGCTCTTCAAGCTGTTTCTGGAGATAATTATGCAGGAAACCCTCTACAACCATAGCACTTCTATCTCTATTGGTGTTAGACTTGTCTGAAACCTGTGTTTCACAGTTGATATTGATTTTATGGTGAGCAGTGTCAGTGAGCTGCAAGACCTGACTAACGAACTCGTTGAAAGGGATGGTGCATATGGAATGGAACTCAACACAGAGAAATCCAAAGTAATGGTGAATAGCACAAGCAACACCAGTGCCAGCATCACCGTGGACAGTGAATCACTGGAGAAAGTATTCAGCTTCAAATATTTGGGAACAACCCTGTCAAAAGATGTCACCTTCAATGCAGAAATTGGCACACAGATTGCCACAATGGTGATGACCAGACTAGAAAGGATATGAAAGAGGAACATCGGCTCCCATACCAAATTCAAAGCTCTACAAATAACTGGTTGTATCCATCTTCCTTTATGGGTGTGAGATTTGGTTGAGGCAGAAGAAAGGATCTAGGCATTTGAGAACAAATGTTTGGGGTCACAAAACCAATGACTATGTACAGAGCAAAGTCAAAAGTTTGGTGGGCTGACAGGAATCTCTTCTAGCCACTATTAAGTGTCAGAAGAACTCATAGTTTGGCATGGCATAACAGCCTCTGCAAGACCATCACAAGACACTGTTGAAAGCGGATGCAAAGAGAGGGACGGCAACGCAAGAGCTGGTCAGATATCAAAGTGCAGATGAACATGACAATGCTGGAACTCCTGAATGCCACCACCAACAAGGAGGAGTTTGTCTGTTTGTTCTGTCCATGGCTCCCCCACACAACAATTGAAGCAATCAAGGGACTGATGATGAATAGATTGGCAACAAGATCTCATCATTTTACAGTCGAAATGGCTAGATGCCATCATAAGTTCTATATTGTTCTATAAATCCTACATGTTTGTATATTGTTCTATAAATCCTACATGTTTGTATATTGTTCTATAAATCCTACATGTTTGTATATTGTTCTATAAATCCTACATGTTTGTATATTGTTCTATAAATCCTACATGTTTGTATATTGTTCTATAAATCCTACATGTTTGTATATTGTTCTATAAATCCTACATGTTTGTATATTGTTCTATAAATCCTACATGTTTGTATATTGTTCTATAAATTCTACATGTTTCTATACTGTTCTATAAGTTCTGTATGTTTCTATACTGTTCTATAAGTTTCTTTTCTTACGATTTTCGCTTATGGAATTCTTTTCCAGTTTCATGCTTTCCAGCCAAATTTGATCTTCAAAAATTTAAATGCAATACCAATCGTTATCTACTGTCCTCTTGATTATGCTTCTATTGTTCTCACTCCTTAATGTTTCTTTCTTTTTTTATTCTTTCACACTCAGTAAACTCATTGTGCCTTAGTGGCTTTACTGCCTTGCATGGGGTGAAATGATTAAAAAAAAACAGAAGTCAGACTTTGTTTAAACTATTTTATTGCATTTAATAATGCAATTAGAGCTTTTATATATTCTAAATGTTTTTATTAACATTTAACTTTCTACTTTAGAATTAAAAGCTGCTCAAACATTGGAAAAGAAATCATTTTTGAAAAAAATGAAAATAAAAGCTTTTTCAGTCTATTGAATTCTAGTAATAAGTCTAAATAGATTATTGATTTTTTTTTTTAAGCAAAATAACCAAATTTTGACAATATTGGAAATCAGTAACTCATGTCTGCTTTCATCTTTAACGTTACCATTTTCTGTTCTGTAGACCAGGCTCATGGGACTTCTGTTTCAACACATAAAATATTTTCTCTGACTTTCCCCTAATATTGTGAAGTTCTGTTTTGCTTACATTTTTGTTTTTTTTTTAATATTAATGAGCTTATGGGAGAAATGCTATTTCCACCACAATTACATACCCACATACATACTATATTAAAACAAGCCCATAGTTTATTTTCTTTCCAATAACAGACAGTTTACAAACATGCCAAAAAGATTCCATAATACAATACACAGTTTAAATCAAAATCTCTTTTGATTAGAAATTAACATCATGTGAAATATTTGACCAAGCTGAGAAAACAAAAACCCTATTTTTCCCAAACCTACTTTGGGGAAAAAATTCTCATAAAAAAACCATAGATTTTAACTTTCAAGCCATTTCAAACACAAGGATATATAGCTTTTTTCCTTCACCCACAGTGCGTGCTGAAATAAAAATATGTCAGCAACTTCAGACCAATCATCACTAACAATAGCATCTCACAGAAATAGATTTGGAATATTTGAGAGCTACAAAGTTTGAAAATTTTTTTGTAACTTTGAAAACCCATTGTAGAAATGCTTTATCCAGCTTAAATTTTTGTCTACATTAAATTACTACTTTGCTTTATTCTTTTAAGTAGCAGTTTCTTTTCTCACACTTTTTGCTTGTGGAGCTCCCTTCCAGCTTCGTGCTTTCTAGCCAACTTTAATCTGTAAAAATTTAAATGCAATGTCAATTGCTATCTACTGTCCTCCTGATTACTCTTTTCTCTTCCTGCTTACTATTAATGTTTCTGTTCTTAATTCTCCCACACCCTGTAACCCCTTGTGTCTTAGTGGCTTTACTGCCTTGCATTAGGTGATACTGATTAAAGAGAAAGAAAACAATTTCTAAAGTAGTAATGGATTTTTATTATTAATCTGACAGATTTTATTACTTAAATGTTTATTTTTAGTAGTTACCCATATTTAAGTAGAAGCTCTGTTTATTTTTTAAACAGTATATTTATTTATTTTCATCTACCTGCCTGAATATTTGATAAATATTATTAAATAAAATATGTGCTCTCTGGCAGGATTTGAACATGTGTCACCCTTGGCTGGAGAAACCATTTTCAGATCCAATGTGCTTTAGAGTGACTTGGCTACGGAGTGTATCGTTGATCAAGCAAAATTGAATAGTGTCTTATAAACACAAATCTTTCTCAGACTCATGAAACATTCATATCTGCTCAGTTTCATATCCTAACATAAACAAAGCAATTTCTAAAGAAAGGGATGGATTTGGCCTTGTACAGTGTGAACATCATTGTAAAAAGCTATAATTATGTACACTGAGAGGTCTATAAAATAAGAGCTTTTTCTTCTAGGGGTGGGGGTTGATCTCTTTTTTTTTCTTGAATTTGTTTCGAATTTTTTCTGAAAAGACTATCAAGCAAATAATTCATAGACTTTTCCAGTTATGGTCAACCATAATAAGTGATGGCTTGTCCACTTAGGTTATGGCTACAAAGTGATTATACGCAAAGAAAATTTGGCAGTCTTAGACCTTTGTGCCCACAAAAAAATGTAGTGTCAAAAGGATGTTTTTTCCTTTGACACTGCCATTATTTTAACTACCTTCACTCCTCAGCAATGTTTATTGTTTTAAAAAGTGATGATTAGAGTTTTAATAAAGCCTAAACATATGATGAAAGTAAATTTATACATTTTTTGTAGTTCTTGAGAATTTATAACAAAAATATTAAACACTATTTATTAGAATAATAAATTCTGTCACTCAGAAGAATTCTGTTTTTATAAATGATTTAAAAAAATCATTTCACATTAATGAGGGCAATAAAGCCACTAAAAGTCAAGGGTTTACTGAATGTAAAAGATTATGAGAAAAAAAATTATTAAGGTGAGGTAACAATAAAAGAACAGGAATTAAAAAGACAAAAGATAATAGCAATTTCAATTGTAGAAAGATGAGACCTAACTGC